TAATTTTCAATGAAAAATAAAATGAAAATTGTATTACAAAGTGAACAAAATGTTTATTTAATGGTAAATTACAAATTGCATTTAAGATCGTTGTTTTTTGATAACTTAATTTACATTTGGGTGTAAAACTTATAATGCTACTCTCACGTCGTGATTTGAAAGTCTGGATGGAATGTAGTGTCAATTAATAAAGAAATATACAGAAGATAAATGTTTTTCATTTCAGAAAGGACCACAACCTGGTAGTGGCGGCACATAAATGACTTGGCACAGTGATTGAGAATCACTGGCTTAAAGCTGCACATTGTGCATATTATTATGTATATAGACTTTACGCTCTGTGATTTCATAGCTTTGTCCTTCATCTATTATTTTCATCTTGAATTTCATTTACATTTATATTGTATTTATACATATACATATTTATGTTGTTGAAGGGTCCATATCCCTATTAATAAAACGTTATCATTGTATTTTTATTACATTCATTAGTTGATGTAAGTTTCCGCGCAACAAATTGACCGACATTTTCGCCAACAATTCTATTCATTATAATTGAAGTTACGTACAATGATCCTCGTCAATGGAATCTGAAAAGTGAAAGTCAATTAACGAATTCTTTTAGCACGTTTTACCTCATAATACTCAGTTAGGAATTTAACAATTCTCTTAATCTAGATCAAACAATAAAAGTTTGCGTCATATTTGCCGAATGCAAACGTCGATTTAAACGGAAGAGGGGAATAAATGCATTCATAAATCTACGGACAGCCTAGCTAGCTGAGCGTACTTGGCATTCTCTCGAGCTGCCAGTTCCAAATGAATTTATAAATGGTTTCCATTACTAATTGAAACTCACCGCGCGGCAAAGTATCTCGAAAACGTAGGATCATCGAATAAATTATCACAGCCTGATAAATCCGAGTGAATCTAGGATTTTATCAATGCTTGAGTGAAGGAACGTTTGTTTTATGAAATTCTAATACTGAAAATCCATAGGTATTCAACTTGTAGAATAAATTCAGCTGAAGTCGTTGAAAAGACGCACTCGAATAATGCGTTAGTCTTAGAAAACGATACTTGTTCTCTTTTTACTGTTCGTTGTGGTTCGCTGCAAGCAGTCGTGCACAGATTATCGGTCGAACTATGCCACGCACGAACAAAACTTGGATTTCGTGGAAATCAACCGTTTCAAGTGGATTTTACGCGCAGCCGCCTAGTGCGCACGTGTTTTGGTCGAACAAACCCTGCGCGTTCGTGCACAGCCCATGTTGCATAGGTCTGTAGTCGGCTAACTGCTAACTACTTATATAATAATAACGTATATAAAATAATAATAATATTATATAATAACTTTTAATAATTTAAAAATTTGGCAACACACGACCAATAAGATAAATTAATAGAATTTTATTTGGTTTACTGATTGAGGTACCTATAATATATTTCGTAAAATTAGCATAGGATAATAANTTATTATTATTTCTAATAAATATAAAAGTAATAATAATAATAATTCATTAAAATGCTGTGATGCAAATGGTCGTTATGTTGAACCATTCCTGTAAATAAACGCTAATGTCAATACGAATTTTAAAATTCAATTGAAGTATCTTCTGAACTGCTACTTTCTTCACACACATATATAGTTCAGTACTTTTTTTTATACAGAACGTCTAGTTACATCGTTTGCTGTATAAAAAATACCCCATTCCATTTAGAAAAACAAAGTTGAACTTCAAATCTCTTAAGCATCTCCACCTGCAGAAGAGTTATGTACACCACGTAATATGTCCCTCGAAACCAAACAACTTTTGTCATGAACATTTGTTCCTATCTTAAAGAATGTAGAACTTATTCAGGTGATTTGCCTTAGGCGACTCAGCCTGTATATGATATTAACAATCTTTAGTGTCTTACTTTTTGGAAACGTAGTAGAGCACATTCCTTTGAACGAAACTTCTGTGGAAACTGTTTTCTACCTTTCGCGGAAGTAAAAGCGTTAGATTACATCGTCTTCATGACATAACTACGTTTTTACCTTAAAGTTACGACTGCGATCTATTGTCGAGCATGGTTGGATAACAACTTTTTGAGTTAACATTATTGAACCCGACAGCCGGTGAGAAATCTGAAATAAATATACGTCTGATTCGAAATCGCAGAGTATAGGAAAGGATCTATTATAAAGAAACGAGAGAAGAAGCACGTAACGGAATTGGAATGCATGAATTGAGTGTGAAACAAGTTTACCTGAGCGATTGTGCAGTCATGTACGTATGAATAAGTAGGTAGTAGATACACGTGAACAACATAAATTCTGTATTTTCACGTGCGACGTGTAATGTATGCACTAACCATTACTGCGTTTTACCATAACAATCAGTGCGCAAACTTTGCGCGTGCCCGTCGCCAATAAATCTTTCAACAAACGCTTTAGGCGAAGACTGTCGTCCAGCATTAAGGGGGTAGATTCGAATAATCGCATGATAAAATCGACTGTAATGTGTCAATGTAATCCACGAGATTAGTAAAAGTTACGGATTTAATTAGTATTAGTTTAGACATTAACATTATGTATCTCCATGTTACGTTAATCTGATAAATAACATTAAGGTTGTACTAGTCGTAAGACCTCTGCCAAAAGTTTAAGAAATGTAATAAAAAGCTGTGTCCAATATGCAATGAACTTTTAGAAAAAATGATAATTACAGAGGATTAAGGTTTATAAAATTGTTAGACCTGTTTTCCTCGGTCATAAAGAATTTTTAACGCATAATTTATAATATTCTAATACATTTTGGCATTTTTTTTATTGGACTATACGTGACTTGCAACTGTCTAGATGTCCCACAATTCATATTTTTGCATACTTTTTATTG